ATATCTGTTTCGCCATAACATTTGGTAAAAAATATGATAAACCTCGTTCGGGCCTTCACATGTTTTGTTGTGAAATTTCTTTACTACGTCACGAGTACAGGTTTCGTCTGCAAAGGACTCGTCGGTGTCATTTATTTCGTAGCCCATTGGTCAGTGAACGCGATTCTATGTTGTTTAACCCGTCTTTACATTTGTTCGGTGTCACTTTGCTCTTTTTATTTATTTTATTTAATTGCATTACTTCACAAACATTCTTCGCTATCGAAAAAGTTATGTAAACAATAGAAATACCCATAATTGGCATATATCTCAGCAATGTTCTTGTTGAACTACGTGCAAGTTGAGTCCTGTCATTAATTTATGCCTTTCTTGTCCCTTGAGTATCAAATAACTGTAATGTTACTGATGGACCATAACTACTGTGTACACAAATTATCAACAATATTGAAAAAATGTTGAAATCTCATGTGCATGAATCTTAATATAAACTGTCAAAAATCCTTGATTTGCTGATCATAGTGTCCTGTCAGGTTTAATTCTTTTACTTAAGAATGAAAATTAGAAGTCACAAAAAACATTGAATTGACGGTGATTGTATCTACAGCGCTCTCGCGCTTTGTAACTGTTGTACGTTTATTTGTGTTTAATGTTATGAACATAATGTATTTACACTTGAATTCACTACCGACAAAAAAGATTAAAGCAATTATAGTAATAGACCACAACAGAGATTATTAGCTATACTTTCCTACCCATCAAAAATTCTTTGGTGTCGATAGTAAAAGAGATTCGATATATGACGTCAGGCGATATAACGTAAAGATGACACTTATGGACCCATCTCAAAGCATGCATCAAAAGGAGCTTGCTATCAGACGATCACTTATCGTACCTGCGGCTGGTTATGCATCAAGGATTTGAAAAACCGATTGAACATGTATGGGAGGAATTGTACAGTGTCAATAGCAATACCACTAAAACGAGAAGAAACAGCTACATACATTGTTTTACGTCATGAGGAAGCGAGACGGTGAAAATAAAACGACTTAGAGTAACCGACTGCAGGAAGAGGAACTCCGTGTGATATGCCCTATTGTGGACACGTCGAATACAGGATACAAGTACGACGAAATTAAGGATTTCATCCAAGCAGAGTAACGTTCAGACAGTAGTAAGTGAATCATCTGTCGAAGAAGTCATCAGCTTTAACTTAAGGAACGTTTACAACTGGATTAATTTGCAGTATTTTGAAGAACTTGAAAGCATATTCCAGCATTAGATGCACCAGGTTACTGAACTGAAGAGACACTAGCAATAATCAGAGTACTATAGAGACTTTTAGAGGTGATAGCAGATGTAAACAATGAAACTATGGACAACAGAGACAACTTCATAATGCAACTTTACCTCAACAGCAACAACCAATCAAACAACAACGAGGAACTTATCAACAGTACATCCCAGTTATTTGAACAAATTTGGAAAAACTATTACAAGAAAATTGATGCAGAACCGATCTTTAAGACTAACAACTGCAAGGAATGTAGAATACTTACAGTCAAACCTTCCATCTTCACAATCATAACCATAATTCAGAAGGTCATCATTTGTGAAGTCCAACCATTAACAGTTAAAGCACGGTTGAACCTTACTACTGAAAAAAACAACATTCTAGGTTTCTTGAAGTAAATATTTCATACAACGGAATAGAAGAACTTCGTCCTCCTCAGTGTAAGAAGAAATAATATTTCAGCTTTGACAGTTTTTTTTTTGGCAAATGATTTTTATCAGACTATCCCGATCACCATTGTCATCGTTAGAATGGATAGCTACAAATGTGTATAGATTATAGACAATTAAACAAGCAGAGCAAACACGACAGCTTTTCTCTCCCAAACTTTTGACTAGCTCTTGGGTTTTTGTGACTTCAGTAAATTCTTCTCAGTGGTAGGCATGAAGTATCCATTAAGTGGAGATTTGGAAGACCATAATGATCGTATTGCCTTCTCTGTAGAAAAACTTCTTGGCTTTTGTCTCGCCAGCGACTTTTGTCGCAGAATGCGAGACATAGGGATTACAATCTGGCAGGAACGGCGTAATCTATATGTATAAAGCTTTATATTTAAGACGCTAGAAGACCTGGATGCTTCATACCGGTACTTTGTATGCAGATAGCTTATGTTACGAAGTTCCCGTCTAACATATGTCCATTGTCCTTGGCCCCATTTTCATAGTTCGGGGACTGCTTGAAAAAAAGAAAATTTTAAAGTCAGATACTCTCTTATTATGAGTAATAGGATCACTTTGGTATAATGTTTCGTTGCAAGGTCTACATGTCTGTTTGGAAGAGTTCACCTGTCCTCGACCTCATTTCATGGGTCAGTGATCAATGTTGAAGTTATGTGAAGTCCGTATCTCAGATACTATAAGCAGTAGGACAACTATATTTGGTGTATGGAATAATTGTATGGTGTACATGTCTGTCTGGCATGGTTAATCTGACTGTGACTTTATTTTCGTGGATCATTGATAATGTTAAGTTAATGTGATACTTGTCGTAAAACCTTTTGTACTACACACTTTCAACATGAATTCAATCATAAGTAAAACAGGCGAGACATTTCATCGTGTGTAATACTTTAATTTAAACGAATGTTGTTCGGAATTGCAAACTCTCAATCGACTGTTTAAAGATTACCTGGAAAATTGCAACCTTAATTATACTGCATCTTCAGTGCAGTGATGACATCATCGTTTATTAAAGGACATACGAGGAAAATTGGATAATGAAGCTTAACTTTAATGTTAATTATAGAAGTAAACTGTCTTTTTCCAACAAGTGTGAATTTTTGAAAGCGAAAGGTAAACCGAAAAGTGGAATAAGGAGCAGGAGTGGAAATGGACAAACAGAAGAGGATAAGGTTTTCACCTGGCCCACTACAAGTAATCAAGAAGACGTAAGAAGATTTTTGGGATTTGACGATTTTAACGGATGTTATAATATGTTTCAATAAAGTCAGTTCTCCTTGGACCGATTGGATTCAAACAATAAACAAAAAAAAACAACGCCGTTTAAGGAATTGAAGTGGATCGAGTAACATCAATAGGCATTCCAGACACTGCAATGCAATCTTGTTAGTGCAACAGTCCTGAGATATACTGATAATTCCATCTTGTAAGTGCACAAGTCCTGTGATGTGTTTATTGTACATTTCAAAACTAGCTCAATATTGATGCCTCTTGAGAAGCTTTAGGAGCCGTCCTCTACCAATAGGAAGATGGAATTAAGAGTCACAAATTACCCCGGTTTAGGCCTCAACATAAATTAACACAACTACTCGCCCAACAAGAGAGAATGCCTAGGGTTCAATTGGTCAAATTGGACAAATTTAGAGGATGCAGGCAGACAATCATTGTTGAAACGGACGCATTTAGTCGGTTACTAATCAAAAGTGGTTCTAAGTAAGCCTAAGACTAAATCTGTTTTTTTTTATGTATTAAAGTTCACTTTATAATGGATGTACTTGAAATATATAACATACCTTTTCCCAAATATAATTAATTAATTTACAATTACATGTTATTAAAAAATGGCTCAAGCACACATTACATTCAATAACATGCGAAATTGTAAGTAATTAAAATAAAAATCATGAACAATACAGATATGAAAGAAATCACATAGGCACATGTGTTGATAACAGTATCGACCATTGTGGCAACAGATTTAGAGAGGTGGTGAAAGTAGGAGAAATAGCGTTAGTGAGGACTGTCAGCTTCGAAGAAAATATACTAAGTTGGCAGATGAATGAAAACATAATCCTTACACAATTCTTCGCCAACCAAATGTAGACATTTATTGTATTCCTGATGAGGTAGGATAATGAACTACGACACTCTACCGTAACATTTTGTGACTAACCAGAACCAATGTGTACATCAAAGACACCAAAGCCAAGACCGAGACAAGAACCCTGGGGTATTTGGATCAACTTTACCTGACAGGAAGGTTCATTTACAGGATGAGTCACATGAGAATCAGCACAGCAACAGTATCGTCATTGATTAATACACAGCTTTATCTTGTTATCCTGTTGAGGAGGATTTGGCTAAAAGCAAGACAAAAGGGAGACATAATCCACTGCGGTAATTGCTAGTATTATCGTAGAAGCTGCATAAGAGGAACCTCCTAATGAGAAAATAGCTCATGATACATACACAGATTATGCCAACGATCCATCCAACCACGTTACTCAACCAGAAATCCGAAAGATCATCTCCGATTCATGTTTTGGAGTACGACATGTCGAAGTTTGCACAGAAACATCATTTATTTTTTAACGGAAAGGAAATTGCAATGTCTGACACAGCACTGAAATCCTCTGCACATGCTAGTACCCAAAATAACGATACACCTTTTTCTAGCTGTTGGATTATGTGGGAACAAGTTTTGAATTACTATTTTGATAATAGAAAATTCATTAAAACATATCTACTAGACTTGTTTATAAATTTACATTATTTTACTGACTGATCTTATTTTAATAATAAAATGAATAAATCAAACTGTTAAACTGTTTTGTATAATGTTTATATCTATATGCTAATTAAGGTAACGGCTTTAAGTTCTGGAATTTAAACCCTTGAAAAATATATTTTAGAAGTGATGGTCAGATGGGGTCACTTTCTTCTCCATTGGTCGTTAAAATCACAAAATCACAAACAATGTCTGTGGAGGAACATCTTGTTAATAAAGGTTTCTTTCTATGATCAGATCGTATGCATAATGACATTTTGATTCCAATATAACTTATTCCTGTTTGATGATTATGTGGGGCTTTATACTTTATATTAAAATTATCTAAAAGATTTTTTTTAATCATATTATATATATCAATTATCATAGGACATTTTTTTAATTAATAACAGGTTTTCATGTAAAATTTGTGTGATTTGGTATTTTTGGCACAATATAGTTTTAATCCTTATTTTGTATTCAGGTGTTACCATGTTTTACTGACGACCTGGTTGTTGTTTGATTCGCAGTATTGTACCGCAATTTGACCTTCGAACGTCAGTGGAAGGTAAGTATTGAGTTACAATTAATATGCATTATTATGATGCTTGTTATTTTTGGTTGCTAATACTTATATTTAGCTTCTTTGTTTTGATTAACATTTGCAATTCAGTTTGTTTCGAGTAGTATTACTATTAACATTTGGCTGTAATTATATTTTCAGTATATTTTAATTTCCTAAATGAATAGTTTGTAAAATCAGTTAATTATAAAAAAAATTTATTTAATTACATCAACATATTGTGTAAGAATAATGAAATGAAGAAATAATCGGAATTATAACCTTTTTTTAAATGGAAAATTTCTGTGTGTTCTCATTGTACTTTATATTTATGTGGGAATATTGTTGATAATTTGTTATGTTTTGTTAAAGGGTCTTTAATATTTTGCCAAATTTTCCAGTCATATTAAACGATCATAAACCTGAGCTATACACATTCAATAGATCTTTTAATTGAAACTATAAATGAATACAAATCGCTCTGATTTTGATAAATTAAAAAAAAAACTATCTCGAACTGCCTGATTTTCTTATTGAAGGCATATTTGTTATATCTTGTGAATTTGTTTTTGAAAACAAGTCATTCCGATGGTAGCACACTTTGTGGCTATTCTTTCTTGTAGATGTTGACTTCCATTCATGTGAAGCAGATTTCGTGAAGGTGTTTAAAGGAAGAGTAAAAAATGGGTAGCAATACCCTTAAACTTCACTGTCCGATGACGCCATTACACAAATTATACTGTGTTTGGTGAGTATGTCAATCACATCTATAAATAAAGGGTGCTACTGAAGCAGCTACGTTTCTTTTAATTCTTGACCTAAACTTGACAATCGTTTGGAATAAAAAATTATACGAATAATCTTTATTGTCATATAAGCAAATGAAAAATGTTTGTGACAAAAGCATATACGTATATGTATATATATATATAAGACCAAAAAAGTGAAAAAGTATATTTAAACAAAACGCATTTGACTAACAAGTCGAACAACGTTTCTTCTTAAACCCTGCTGACTGCCAAATAAACGGATCACAAGATGTAACAAAATGGATCTTTATTATTAATTTAATACCAAAAAGAAAACAATAAACTTGCGGAAAAGATGCTATACCGCAAACATGAGGTGCAAAAATTTGTACACCATATCAGGATTTCGACAATTAATGTCTCTTCAGGGATGTTAGGAATCGAAACGGTATTTGGAAGGATATATCTAAATTGAAAACAACCGTTCAAACCTATGATTGCGTTGGATAAAAACCACAATTTTTAAACGTGTGCATGTAAAACAAATTTCTTGGTAGAGGGGTCTAAATACAGCACAAACAACATTTTCCAAAAGACCAAAAAAGTGAAAAGTATATTTTAACAAATATATATATATATATATATATATATTTATATATATCAATGCTAAGAAAGGATTTATGTAGCAATTTTAACATTGCACCTTATTGCTCCCAAGATTTCGGAATGGTTCGTTTTCTGTAAAATGTTTAGAAAAGTATCATTTGCCTGTTTATGCCCACGCCGTAGCGGAGGGGACATTAAGTTTTACCCTTGTCCGTCCGTCCGTACCTACGTACGTACGTCCCAAAGTGGGTTTCCGTTCTCTAACTTTAGTTTGCCTCAACCAAATGTTATGAAACTGATACACAATGCTTATTACCACAAAAAACAGATCAAGTTTGAATTTTGGTGGCGTTACTTTAACTGTTCTAGAGTTATGCCCCTTTACAAATGGAAAAATTGGTGAATTTTTCGTTTCCGTTCTTTAACTTTAGTTTGCCTCAACCAAATGATATGAAACTTATACACAATGCTTATTACCACAAAATAGAGATCAAATTTGAATGTTGGTGGCGTCACTTTAACCGTTCCAGAGTTATGTCCCTTTAGAAATGGAAAAAATGCTAAATTTTTCGTTTCTTTTCTCTAACTTAAGTAAGCCTCAACCAAATGTTATGGAACTTATACACAATGCTTATTAACCACAAAAAACGGATCAAATATGAATTTTGGTGGTGTCACTTTTACTGTTCTAGAGTTATGCCCCATTACAAATGGAAAAATTGCTGAATTTTCGTTTCCGTTCTCTAACTTAAGTATGCCTCAACCAAATGTTATGAAACTTATACACAATACTTATTACCACAAAACTCAGATCAAGTACAAATTTGGGTAGTGTCACTTTTACCGTTCTTCAGTTATATGCCTTTATAACTTTATATGATATGCAAGCGGGTGCATCATCTGTGTCCCATGGACACATTCCCCATTTATTTTTCTTTTATTCTTTAAACCATGATCTGTTTTACTGTGTGGGGTGTATAAATTCGCAGTCATGCACGGACAGAATAGGGAACCCTTGCAACAACTCTTTGAGATGTTCGTAGGTGGCCTGTTGCATGCCAAAATATCTGCCCCTAACCAGCATATGATTGCTTCTCAGTGGAAGTCCAAATTGCCCGCCCTTCATTGTCCCCGTCCCTTGCATAACCTACCTTCTAGACTGTTATAATTGTTAATAGTTTCTCACCCTGCATATTTGTATGAATTAATTTCCACTGAACGTCCGTTTTAGAGTATATCACTTAACCAAAGTATTTCAGTATTGATTGTTTCATCTTTCGCATTACATTATTTGTGAGCGCATACTCGTAAAATAAGCAAAAGGGTAGGGATCATATCATTGAATGCCTAAAATACTCAAGACTTTGAAAATGTTATAATATGCCCGGCTTTGCAGGTTAAAGATAAGCAACTGAAAAATCATAGTACGCAATTATATAGTAAATTAAACGTAAGTTCGTATAATTAATGAACAAAAAAGTTTTTGTTATGAATCTACATGTACTATTAAAATCATCTTCGCTAGCGAAGATGTTAAAAATGTGCTCTTATCTTTTGTTTTCATCACTAATGATAGAGCCAAATTAAGAACAGGAGCAAAGAGTCTCCTCATTGAAAAAAGGGTCTTAGCAACGTTTTTTGCGTATAGTGGATAGGCGTTATTTCTAGGCTTTTTATTTAATTATGTTTTAAATAGAGAATGATATATTGTGTTATGTTGTGCTTATAATTTGCTGAATGTTGTTGTTTGCTTTTTTATATAATAAAGACAATATATTTTTAGGATATACATTCGTCTTACTACTTTTGATATGAACATCCTTTGATAAGTATTTAGTATGACGATTAATTTTCACTTCTGTACTCGTACTGTGATAAACAAATTTATTTATTTTGTAAAAAATGTTTCCGTACTCCTAACAACAAAATCATTATATTTTAATTTACCTGTGTACGGTATTTAATTTAACGCCATTTTGTCCTAGGTTAGAGTTGTCTTTATATTTTGTCATAGATCAAACTTATTCGTTCAGTGTATGTTTACTTGTTTTTGTTTTTATGTCTTTTTGATCGAGTGAGGCCATTTCAATTGATATTTTATAGTATGTCTTTTTATGTTGTAATGTTACACTGATGTTCCAGGTTAGGATGAAGGTTGGCGCCTGTTAAAACGTTTAAACCCGCTGCATTTGTATGCACCTGTCCTAAGTCAGGAACCTGTTGTCAGTGGTTTTCGTTTGTTGTTGTGGTTCATAAGTGTTTCTCGTTTCTCGTTTTTTTATATAGATTAGACCGTTGGTTTTCCTGTTTGAATTGTTTTACACTAGTCATTTTGGGGCCATTTATAGCTTGCTGTTCGGTGTAAGCCGAGGTTCCGTGTTGAAGGTCGTACTTTGACCTATAATGGTTTACTTTTTATACATTGTGACTTTGATGGAGAGTTGTCTCATTGGCACTCATACCACATCTTCTTATTTATATTCGGATAAAAGTACGAAGTATGAAACCAACCATTTTTGGCATCCATATTGCTAAATGGTGTTTTTAATACTTTCAAAATATATTCATATTATGTTAAAGTAAGTTTATGTATGAAAGAATATGAGGACACTAAGCCTTATGCTTATCACAAATTATCAGCCAAAGCAGATTAATACAAAGTAGGCAAAAAGAAAACCAAGTGTCCACTAAACTACAAATTAAATAAAAATTTATGAAACACGTGTTCTAGCAAACAAATGATGAATTGTGGCTATGACTGATTGCAATTCACTGTCATCTTAATAGACACATATATTTCATAACGGTCAGCAGTCACGACTTTATCTTTGTTGTTTAACTTTTGTGGAAACAACCAAACATATGCTAATATTGTTGGGTTTACACAGTGTATCTCTTTAATAATTAAGTTGTATTTGTCTTACAAAGGTAAACGACACCATCTAGCAAAATAAAATCCTCAACCAATATCTACATAATATTCGTACATTAATCAATGATTTCTTCGATTTTATCTCCATGTGTATCTATGTAACTAGTGTATAAACAATATATATGACAAAGGTAAATTCACCTTGTAAGTATCTTATTTAAATAGGCAGGTGATTATGCAGTTACTGTATTGTGTATATTAAGTAATGCAGGATAAAACAAACGGTTTAACCTAAAAGGCATGAAAGGAGTAATGTATTATATTTAAAACCACATCTTATGGTAAGTCTTATGAGTGCATTTAAATATTTTTAAGATTAATAAAAGAATCCATTAATTGATTAATGTCAAGGTTCAAATGAAAGCATCAATGGAAACCGTGCCATTGATGAAAGTTAAAACCGGATGGGTTTTTCTTAGAAATCCAATATTCTTTTCGTTTCTCGTAATTTAAAATTCTATAATTAAGCTGCATGCTTGTGAAACTTGATTATAACAAGCATTCTGAGCGTATTGCATGGCAATACATAGTCCCTTACCGGTTAAACATTCATTGTACTAGAACAAAATGCTATCTTGATCTATAACTTATAAACTATATACCAATTATCTAATCAATATCTTGCATGACGAAAAGAAGTGCGGAAAACTGATTATTTGAGTAAATTTTCTAAGTACAAGGACCATAACTCTGCACAAAATCATCAGACCGGAACAAAATTCGAACTTGTTCTGTAACTTGTCATGATAAAACTATATACCAATTATCAAATCAATATCTTCAAGCATGAAGAAAAAAAGTGCTGAAAACTGATTATTTGAGTGAATTATTTAAGTCCAAGGACCATAACTCTGCACAAAATCATCAGACCGGAACAAAATTCAAACTTGATCTGTAACTTGTCATGTTTAAAGTTTAGCAATACACCAAATATCAAATCAATATCTTCAAGCATGAAGAAAAAAGTGTGGAAAACTGATTTGCCGGACTGACGGATGGACAGACAGACAGACAGACAGACAGACAGGGGACTAATAAGAATCAATCATTCATGAAATGTATTATGTATATTTGTCTGATATACTTTTCCTTCCTCTTTCTTAATTGTTAAATTTGCATTTTAAATAAAATCATGATTAAAATATTTCCGGTGAAATGATATTGTTCTCAACGGATGTGACAGTATAATAGCTGACGTAAACTTTTTAAACGTATTAGGACATTCCTATTTTTTTAGCAAAAAATACTTCCTGTATGAATATCTTACTGGAAGGGGTTGTGTTCTCTATTATTTCTCTATTATTTTTTAAACAGTCAAAATTGTGTGCGATTTCGAAATTAGAGTGAATAACTATTTAAAAAAGGCTTTATAATAAACGTAAAGGCTAAATAATACACGTACAGGCTAAATAATACACGTAAAAACTATAAATAAAACACGTAAAAACTATGAATAATACACGTAAAGGTTAATAATACACGTAAAGGGAGTACTTCAAAGCAAACAAGCAAGGTTTAATTTTGCAAAGTTTGAAATACATTTAATTCTAGGTTAAGTTCGACCCAAAATCGTACATGCTACTTTTCAAAATATATGACCCCGATTTAAATAATTTGCAATACCCGGTATATTCCCACGGCGTCCCTGTCGATGCGCAGTTGATACTCAGTTTTGACAGTATCTGTATATAGCTTTGTTTGACAAGTTTATCAACGTTATATGTTAAATTTCGTTGCCCATTCACCATGAAGCGCTAAAATCGCTATACTTTTTTTATTCAGAGTAAATAAGTCCATGCTTTCGAAACAAGACGAAAATGGAAAAAGATAAAGAACACACAGTTTATATCATAAATGAAGGCGATGGAATGGACTCTGTTCAAGTCTGGCAGGCCTATACCATGTGTGCAACTAGCATCATGTTAATGTTTGCAATCCGTTCAATTGTGACAAAGATTGGTAAACCAAAAACTTTAAAAGATGGTGTGTCCTTTTGGAAATGGAGAAATATTCTTATTTCTTGGATTCATGCTGTGGTTGTTGGTATATGGGACTTTTTATGGCAAGTATTAATCTTTGTAGTGAAAATCGTGCTGATCTGTTTAACCCTGATAAATTTAGGTGGAATGCTTCTTTCCTAATGTATACAGGATAGAATAGCCTGGCATCCTGGCCTAACCTCCACTTCGTATCGAGCAGCGAGTCAGAATGCAAGGCTAATGGTATAATTGTTATGTTTTATATATGCTTTAAAGTCGCAGTTTTCATCTTTTATATCATCTAGCACTTGAATAAATATTTAGACACTTGAAATTACATAGACTAACCATTTGAAATACAGTTTGTTTCAAAATTAAAGTATTTCTTTTGCATTATTATCAACCTAAATAAATACTCGTCTCATTGTGTGCTTTATATTAAGATTAATTTCGTTAACAAAAAATAAACTTTGGATTATTTCGCTTTAACCAGAAATAGATTATAATACCCCATCTCCTTATTTTTATAGGAAATGGCAATGTTTATTCCCGCTTTGTTGAAATAATGAAATCTCAAAATCCAGAAGTCGTTTTGGTTAATTACTTCCTTATATAATAAGTTTAAACTGGAAATATATAAATAAGGAAACGTGGTGTGTGTTTGATTGTTAATAACAAGTACATACATACTTGTTAGCCGACTTAGAATAAATAATAAAAGCCCTGTTCATTGATAATTTTTTATTTTTTTTGTGTATTGTGTCCGATTTTGTCCCATGTACATTTACTCCATATCCTTTCATTTTCTATTGCTAACTTACTCACTCACCATCATTTTAAAAACTTCATCAGTAGACTTTGAAGTATTCACCAAATCTAAATACACACAAAAAAAAACGATTCCCTAAAAGAAAAACTGTTCTTTACCTCAAATCCAAAAAGATCGACTCTCTGCTTATGTACCCATTGTTTTTCTGTGACATTTGTTTGATTGATTGAATGATGGCGTCAAGGAGCAAACATTTCATGCATATTGAGGAAGAAAATGTTCATGTGGTATGAAGATTTTAAGTATAAATCATTACGCAATATAATGCAAGTTACTCGGACTTAACGTTGTGAATCAAAGTCTACCGATAGTCTTGCTTGGCAGAGATGCAACACAGACCAATTCTGAAATTTTGGATTGACGAGACCGCGAATCAAACTCATGACCTCCCACACGCAAGGCAAGCACTGACACATTTACTTCATAAGTTTAACAAGAGACTCTGTCAAAGATCCCGCGTGTCCACTTGTCAATTTGACATTATTTCCCCGTATTGTCATGTTCCTTGCTTTAACACTTATGTCTGAATGTGACTTTGGAATCGTGCAGCGGAGGGTGCATGCATAGTGTAGATACTTACCCTTTCGAAGCACGTGGTTTCATCCCTACTGGATTGATGGGGTTTATTTTCACTCCGGGTTTTTGTCTCGCCTGCGACGAAAGTCGCATAACACGAGACATAGGGATTACAATCCGCAGGCGACGGCATAAACTGTTTGTATTAAGATTTATATTTCAGAGGGTAGAAGACCTGGAGGATTCATACCTTGTATACAGATGCCTTATGTTTTGAGTTTTCCGTCTGTAATATGTACGTTGTCCTTGGCCTCATTTTCATGGTTCAGCGATTGCTTGCAAAAAAGTTTAGCTTTTTTTGTCATGTGAATTTCTCACTTATTATGAATAATTGGATAACGACATTTGGTATGTAGGTTCCTTGCAAGGTCAACATGTCCGACAGACAGGGTTCACCTGACCTCGACCTCATTTCATGGATCATTGATCAAGGTTAAAGTTATGTGATAAGGTCCGTTTCTCAGATACTATAAGCAGTAGGTTAACTAAATTTGGTGTATGGAATGATTGTAAGGTGTACATGTCAGTCTGGCAAGTTTCATCTGACCTTGACTTCATTTTCACGGTTCACTTGCCAATGTTAAGTTTTTATACGACCGCAAAAAAATTTTGAGGTCGTATATTGGTATGACGTTGGCGTCGTCGTCGTCGTCGTCGTCGTCGTCGTCTGGCGTCGTCGTCCGAATACACAATGGTTTTCGCACTCTAACTTTAGTTTAAGTGAATGGATCTCTATGAAATTTTACCATAACGTTCAATACCACAATAGGAAGGTGGGGATTGATTTTGGGGGTTATGGTACCAACAGTTAAGGAATTAGGGGCCAAAAAGGGGCCGAAAATAAGCATTTTTGTAACTTCCAGACATAACTTGTGTGTTAGCATATGGATCTCTTTGACATTGTACCACAAGATTCCATATCACAAAGGGTCAATGCTGGGATTGATTTTGGGGTTAATTGCCTCAAAATTTTAGGAATAAGGGGCCAAAAGGGGGCAAAAAACAAGCATTTTTCTAGTTTCATGACAATAACTTGTGTGTAAAAGTATGGATCTTTCTGAAATTTTACTACAAGGTTCCATTTCACAAAGGGAAAGCTGGAATTGAGTGTTGTGGTAATTGCCCAAAACGTTTAGTAATAAGGGGCCTAAAAAGGGGTTTAAAATAAGCATTTTTTAGTTTCTAGACAATAACTTGTGTTCAAGTGTATGGATCTCTCTAAAATTGTATTACAAGGTACCATACCACAAAGGCAAGGCTGTTATTGAGCTTGGTTTGGGGGGAAAGGAGGGTGGGGGTGATGAATCATAAGGGGGGCGGGGGTCAAAAAAGGGGTAATTTTTTTTTTCCTTTTTTTTTTGTTTAAAATTTACATTTTAAGTTAGTTATTTTTTATCACGAAGAGAAAGTAGGAATTGAGTTTTGGGGTTAATTGCTCAAACATTTATGAATAAGGGGCCAAATATTGGTCAAAAATAAGGATTTTTTTTTCTTTAGAATTTTCCATTTAAAGATGGTTGTTTCAGATTTATATATGAAAGAAAATAATAATGATACGATTATATATCATGAGGAATTGAAATTTAAAATTATGTATATTGGAAATTTAAGTTACATTGGAAAGTAATAATTGGCTTTGGGGGGGGGGGGGGGGGGGGGGTTATGGCTCTAATGTTTAAGGAATAAGGGGAAAAAAGGTTAAAAAACAAGGGTTTCCTTTTTAATAGACAAATAATTGAGTAAAGAACATTATTTAAAAGCAGTGTAAGGTTGGTAATTCAAACTCATTTAAATATCTCATCTACACTGCTTTTAAATTATGTAAATTGGAAATTTGCCAATAACTTTATTGTTAATAAATGCATTGGAAATTTGCCAACAATTTTAGTGTAATAAACTTCATTGGAAATTTGCCAATATAAAATTTTGCTGATGAAGGTTTTTTGTTTACCTTTAGCCTTGACTATGAAGTCATTTTCTATTTTTATAGCCTTATGATGTAGTTGAATTATTTAATACTTTTATGATGTGTTTAAATGGGGTTTTATCATGTTTATGGTTGCAAATTTATTGTTTTAGTATAATATACTCCATTTAAAATTTGCCAATAAAAAAAATTTTTGTTTATTTTTAGCTATGATTATGATGTCATTTTCTATTTTACTTTTACGGTTGCAAAGAAATTTTTATTTTTAGATATTACTGTTAAATGATGCTGATTAAGGTTTTTGCTATGTTTAGCCATGACTATGATGTCATTTTCTATTTTAATATCTGTTATGATGTATTTAAATGGGCTTTTATGGTTACAAAGGAATTTTATTTTTAGATATTACTATAAAATGTTGCTGATGCTGATTAAGGATTTTGTTTATTTTTAGCCATGACTATGATGTCATTTTCTATTTTAATACCTTTATGATGTAATTTCCATTTTTAGATATTACTGTTAAATGATGCTGATTAAGGGTTTTTTGCTATGTTTAGCCATGACTATGATGTCATTTTCTATTTTAATATCTTTATGATGTATTTAAATGGGCTTTTATGGTTACAAAGGAATTTTATTTTTAGATATTACTTTAAATGTTGCTGATTAAGGATTTTTGTTTATTTTTAGCCATGACTATGATGTCACTTTCTATTTTAATACCTTTATGATGTATTTAAATGGGCTCCCATGTATTTAGATTTTTGATTATTTATACATGTTACCAAATTGGTCCACATTGAACAAAAACAGTCCAAATTTCAACTTTATTACATTACATCGAACATTGAATTCTACATATTCTTTGATATATTGAAATTAACAAACAATTTAGTTTATGGATATTCCACCATAATAGGTAAATTAAAATTTTTCCAGTTCTTACACCACATTCATCCTGTGTCAGAAACCTATGCTGTGTCAAATATTTAATGACAATCCAAAGTCATAGCTGTATCAAGCTTGAATTTTGTGTCCATACTTGCCCCAACTGTTCAGGGTTCGACCTCTGCGGTCGTATCAAGCTGCGCCCCAGCGAAGCATTTTATTGTGTTTTGGTCTGTTTTTCTAATACTATAAGCAATAGGTAAACTATACTTGGCTTATGGAATGATTGAAAGGTGTACATGTCAGTATGGCAGGTATCATTTGTCCTTGACCTTATTTTCATGGTTCATTGGTCAATGCTAAGTTTCTGTAGTGATGTCCTCTTGTAAGATACTAAAAGCAATAGCTTAAATATATTTGGTGTATAGAATGATTGTAAGGTGTACATGTCAGTCTGCCAAGTTTCGTCTGACCTTGACCACTTTCACGGTTCACTGGCCAATGTTAAGTTTTTGTGTTTTGGTCTGTTTTTCTTATACTATAAGCAAAAGGTAAACTATACTTGATGTATGGAATGATTGAAAGGTGTACATGTCAGTCTGGTAGATATCATTTGCCCTCGACCTTATTTTCATGGTTCATTGGTCAATGCTAAGTTTCTGTAGTGATGTCCTCTTTTAAGATATTAAAAGCAATAGCTTAACTGTATTTGGTGTATGGAATGATTGTAAGGTGTACATGTCTGCCTGATAAGGTTTGTCTGACCTTGACCTCATTTGAGTGGGTTATTGGTCAAGTTAAGTCCTACCCTTGTGTTCATCAAGGTTCATTTAAAACATATTTTGTACTTATTGGTTATATTTTGTTCAGGGAGTTCGGAATTTGCCAAGCAACAGGATACAAGCTTATACATTTGCAGAAATTTGATACATCAGTTCCAATAAAACATGGATTTTGCTAGTTTAGTTTAATAACATTCAGTAACTATTTTTCTTTCTTTGTCATTGTGTTCTGTTGACAGAAAAGACTTGTTATTATTTCTGGTTTTTTTTCTCTCTTTTTTTGAAAAGGTTTGTTCACTGTGCTTGATTAGATTTAGTTGACCTTGTCTTTTCTTTCATATTCTGAACAACTGTTGTAGGTCAGTCGTTACGTGTAATTGTACTGCATTGCATAAATTGCATTACGATATAACGACAATGAAAGCACGATATATTGATTATCTATTGTTTTCTATAGCATTTTAATTATTTATTGATTAATGTTAAGAATTAATTAAATTACATTGAAATTGATTATTTTGTGTACATAAAACCAATGTTCCTATATGAATGTGATATAAGTGTACAAAATCAGTCGCAATTTTTTCAAAACAACAATGTTTTATGCCATTTTAACATGTCTAAGTTTTTGTATAAAGTATTTTATGTTTTTTTTTCTCCAGTTTATGGTGGTATCCAGATCTCTTCCAGGATCCAGTATTTTATATTAACAACGTGATGTACCTTATGGTGCCTTTTTCTATAGGTATTTATGCTTTTTCCCTAAGTTTGTAAATAATATTGAACGTTAGATTATTTGCAAAACTTATTTTGTACTACAATACTGTTGAAATTACACTCAAAGTTTACGTGCAATAAAGTTTGCTGAATTCGAGCTTTAAAAATGACCGAATTATTCATTGGAACATTTTATCAAATGGTTGTTCATTCCTGTTTGCTTAATGTCCAGTGAAAAATATTACACACATAATCAGGAGACGAACAAATTATTAAGAAATCAAATAGGTAGGATCAGGCAAGTTGGTCGAACGGCAAATTCGGACTGCCAATGGTATATTAGTGTGACAGAAATTTTACTTAGAGAAGGCAACATGTGAATACCAGGTTCTTTAACATGCACAGAGCGTGGCATTTTTCCTTCACGAGGCATCGGATTTAACATCCCCATTTTGATGGACGAGGCTGCGTTTATATATGAATACTACCAGAACTGCCAAACAGACAGTCAGAGATACTTGGTCAAATCTCCATACCCCGCTATACTTTCTGAACCTTTTGTTAAAGCAATCTTCTCTATCAAAAGTGTATCGGTATCCAGGAAGCCTTGGGGATATGACAGTAACAGACTCCAGCATTTGAAATCGTTTTGTCTTACACTTAACAACTCTTGAATGTTTTTATTTCTTTTAAAGTAAAATCACAGAAATGTTACCAAAGAGGAAACCATACATTTTAATCACAGAAATGTACCAGTCTTTCTTTGAAAATTTTCATATTCATTTGTAATTTCTGACAACTTGTCAGAATCTGTGTACATTGCCTTATCTTAACACTAAAAATAAGATTAAAAGGTGACATAGTGTTAACGTCAATAAGACAGCAACCAAGCATTATAACAGAAAAAAATTCTTTTTATGCTGATAATTTTCATGAAATACATAAAGAAGTTCCTTTTTTTCGTACTTTTCATGTGACAATATAAAAAAAAACTCAATAGTAAGTTTCCAGAAAACATCTGATATCAGGGGGAAAAGAACATATTTGAGAAAATTGAAAGATTCAAATGCAGTACTTGCATAACATTAATGTCTGGATAATCATTATAAGTGTTATAACTTTTAGAGTACTTTTATATGTAAACTGGTCAGTCGATTTAGTCTTTTCTGATTAAACACTTTCTGACTTGCATACGTCAGTACAGTTATTACGTATATTTTATTAAACATTTCAGGCTATTTTCTTTATGATCTTTATGATATGATGATAAATGAACAACTCATTGACTGGGAAATTGCATTACACCATATACTTGTAAGTTGAAACAAGATACTGTTTAGTTTTCAGTTCACGCGTGCACATTACGATACAAGCTACAGTTTTTCACGCTAAAAGTTTCCGAACAATATAGCTTCTGATGGTGGTTTCCGAAGTGTGCCGAAGATGTTCGATGTTATGCATCGATACTTGCATACTTACACCTGGCTTTGGGCAGTTTGCGATCACCTGGTAAATATACAATTAAAACGCTGTCAACACGTGCAGTATATTCTTTTGTTAGTATACAATACAAAGGCGGCGATGATTAAGAGTCAAACATGTATACGATTCTCATCGTATCAAAACCACCAAAAGCAAGCAGTTTAAGTGAAGAGGGGTCATTTATTTGTCCATTTAAGGAATTGTATACTAATAGTGTTTGTAGATAAATTTGGTTAGGGGTCCTTATAATAATGAAATAATACAAAAAAGGAGAATTCATTACATGCATGGTGCTCACAGTGCTACATTTTGCGTGTTACAATAATTTAAACTAGACATAATACTGCACTTCTTCTAATCATCGTGATACTTCCATCCATCTTTTCTGGTTATCTGTTTTCTGATATATTGAATTGGACAATCAAAAAAGTAAATGTTTAAAATATTATAATGTAAAAGACTGGAATGTTTATTTTCTTTATCTTTTTACAGCTTAGTACCGTGATGATCTATTCATGGACTAACAAGTTGTGTATTGCTTATAGTGTAATATTACTTACATCGGAAATAAACAGTATTTTTCTTCATCTACGAAAACTTCTACAGTTCACAAGAGTTAACTTTAATTCCTGGCTATATCAATCAGTAGCAATGCTGAACCTTTTTACGTTTATAACGTGTCGTCTGTTTCCTCAGAGTCGTCTAATGTTTGGATTCTACACTGATGGACATCGTATCTCAAGAAGTTATTTTATTCTTTTATTGTCAACTTATCCAATTGGTTTTGTTATAAATATAGTTTTATTTTGGAGAATACTTAAATCAGATGTATTGAGACGACTAAAAGGTAATGATAAATTACGAAATAAGATGGAATAGAAATGATTTGTGCAAATGGAGCACCCTCCACGTAAGGTAATTAACATTCTAGTTGCAGTGTGATCTTGTAATAAAAATAGTCCGTAAAAATAATTTATAAAGGTGTGTTTACACGGTACGATTTTCCATCCGATTTGATACCGCCTCCCAGGTAAATCATACATCGTTCTATTCACACGATACCATTTTTCATTCGATTAACCAAACGACATCCAATTTTAGTGTTCACACGGTGAGAGTTTTGTCGAAACATGGAAGTATTTTGACATATAATACTTCCTTGGTCGAAACGACATCGATTGGAAATCAGATGGAAAATCGTACCGTGTAAACTAAGCTTAATTCATTCTAGTCACAGTGTGATCTTGTAATAATGATAGTACGTAAACATACTGTCACCGTGAGGTCTTGTAATAATGATATTACGTAAACATACTAGTCTCAGTGTGGTCTTGTTTTTATGATAGTACGTAAACATACTAGTCACAGTGTGGTCTTGTTTTTATGATAGTACGTAAACATACTAGTCACAGTGTGGTCTTGTTTTTATGATAGTACGTAAACATACTAGTCACAGTGTAGACTTGTTTTTATGATAGTACGTAAACATACTAGTCTGAATGTGGTCTTGTTTTTATGATAGTACGTAAACATACTAGTCTGAGTGTGGTCTTGTAATAATGATAGTACGTAAACATACTAGTCTCAGTGTGGTCTTGTAATAGTGATAGTCCGTAAACCTAATCAACTAAGTCAATATTTACCCATCGAGGAAAATATGGTGATTTGCATTTAGATATACATATAAACATTATTTTATTTGTTTGATTTATGATGGATTGTTTGATTTTTGTTTATGTTTTGCTTACAAATATATATATATAAGTATACACTGTTTTGAATTCCAGGACTCGAAACGAGACATAAAAAAAAGAAGAAATATACGAACTGTACAAAACAATCATAAAGTTATAAAGAATTGACATATTTTTTTAGAAACCAATCATTTTTTATGTACATTTCAGTAAACTTTACATCTTAAAACAAGTATATATATTTTCCATTTTTTTTTTATTTTATTCCTAACTTGATAATGGTTGCTTTTATTTTACTCTAAACAATAATTAGCAGAAAAAGCGGAATTACTGCTTAATATGAATTGAAGTTAATATTACTGTGTTGAGTTATGCTGAGAGCGACAACGAACCTGATTTCACTTACTTCTTTTGGGGAGATCGTGCAAACATTTTGAATTTAAAAAAAGCTTGTCAGATATTCTGACACACACCACTGTTTAGCTTCTTGGAGATGGATTTTCATCCACCAATATTAGTTTTGTGATGGTTAATGTCAGCAATGGGCGGTCATCTAACGAAAATCTGCCGAATGAAAACGATTCAGCACCAGGAATATCGTGCTGAATTTATGACATTCATTGTCAATTTACCGCATTTGTTCTAGTATCTCAGTAAACCAGTAAATAAATCCTTTTTTCTGTTCAAATGTTTTAATTTAATTATTTAAAATTAGTTATGTCGAATCAATCTATTAATAATTACATTGACATTTCTGTAAAATAATATGAACGCCACTTTTTATGCCCCGCTGAAGCGGAGGGGGCATTAAGTTTTACCCTTGTCCGTCCGTACGTCCGTCCATACGTCCCAAAATTGGTTTCCGTTCTCTAACTTGAGTTTGCCTCAACCAAATGTTATCAAACTTATACACAATGTTTATTACCACAAAACACAGATCAAGTTTGAATTTTGGTGGCGTCACTTTAACCATTCTAGAGTTATGCCCCTTTATAAATGGAAAAATTGCAAAATTTTTCATTTTCGTTCTCTAACTTAAGTTTGCCTCATCTAAATGTTTTGAAACTTGTACACAATGCTTATTACCACAATACACAGATCAAGATTGAATTTTGGGAGCGTCACTTTTACTGTTCTAGAGTTATGCCCCTTTACAAATGGAAAAATTGCTAAATTTTTCATTCTTTTTTCCAAAAATATCAATGTCATTATTCAAGTAATTTTAAAAATTGGAGTTATCTTCCTTTGTCCATGATTATAGTTAAATCAGCTACAATCAATGCTTTATACAATGCAATGTTTAATTTTGCTTTCCACTGATAAAACACAGATCAAGTTGAATTTGGGTAGTGTCACTTTAACCATTATTGAGTTATGCCCCTTTATAAATCGAAAAATTGCAATAATTTTAGTTTCCATTCTGTTACTTAAGTTTGCCCCAACCAAACATTATGAAACCTATACACATAACTCATTACCACAAAACTAAGATCAAGTACAAATATTGTTTCCGTTCTCTAACTTTAGTTTGCCTCAACCAAATGTTATGAAACTTATACACAATGCTTATTACTACATAATACAGATTAAGTACGAAATTCAGTGGCGTCACTTTTACCATTCTTGAGTAATGTCCCTTTATAAACATAAAAATTGGTGAATTTTTCGTTTCCGTTCCCTTACTTTAGTTTGTCTCAACCAAATGTTATAAAACTTATATACAACCGTTCTAGAGTTATGCGTGTTTACAAATAGAAAAATTGCTGAATTTTTTGTTTCTGTTCTCTACTTAAGTTAGCCTCAACCAAATGTTATGAGACTTACACACAATGCTTATTACCACAAAACTCAGATCAAGTTCAAATTTTGGTAGCGTCACTTTTACCGTTCTTCAGTTATGTCCCTTTATAACTATATGATATGCAAGCGGGGGCATCGTCTGTGTCCACATGTGGACACAATCCACATTTATTTATTTTAATCCAATCTGATGTATGTATTTGCAGTTGTTGGTTGTCCTCTGAAGTCAATTTAATATTTTCATAGATGTTTCTGAAATTAAAGAGTTCACTTTACTTTAATGGAATATTTCTAGTGTAAAATTACTAATTTCTGCAAAATTGATCTTTCATTTTTGTCGAGTCTTCGACTTTTGTCGAAAAAGCGAGACATAGCAATCCTACATTCCGTCGTCGGCGTCTTCGTCGTCGTCGTCGTCGTTGTCGTTGTCGTCGTCGGCGGCGTCCACAAATATTCACTCTGTGGTTAAGGTTTTTGAAATTTTAATAACTTTCTTAAACTATCCTGGATTTCTACCAAACTTGGACAGAAGCTTGTTTATGATCATAAGATAATTTTCAAAAGTAAATTTTGTAAAAAAAAAATTCCTTTTTTCCGTATTTTACTTATAAATGGACTTAGTTTTCTGCCAGGAAACATTACATTCACTCTCTGGTTAAAGTTTTTTAAATTTTAATAACTTTCTTAAACTATCCTGGATTTCTACGTAACTTGGAGAGAAGCTTGTTTATGATCATAAGATAGTATCCAGAAGTAAATTTTGTAAAAAAAAAATCATTTTTCCGTATTTTACTTATAAATGGACTTAGTTATTCTGCCAGTTAACATTATATTCACTCTGTGGTTCAAGTTTTAACAACTTTCTTAAACTATCTTGGATTTGTACCAAACTTGGACAGAAGCTTGTTTATGATTAAAAGCTAATATCTAGAAGGAAATTTTGTTAAAATTTTGTTCCATTTTTTCCGTATTTTACTTATAAATGGACTTAGTTTTTCTTCCAGTTAACATTACATACAGTCTGCAGTTAAAGTTTTTAAAACATTTATTAGATTCATAAACTATCATGGATTTCTACCAAACTTGGACAGAAGCTACTTACAATCAAAAGATAGTATAGAGAGGAATATTTTTATTAATTTTTTCCTCATTTTTGTTGATCCTGCGATTAACAGCAAAAGTAGGCGAGACACTGGGTTCCGCAGAACCCTTACAATTATTTTTTAAAACACGTCTGAAATTAAATTTATTTATGACGATAACATATGTTACCATAAACATTGAAATAATTTATATCAAGAAAATAATACAAATATTTGCAGTTGTTGCAAAATCAGAAACAATCTCATTAAATAAAGCTTTTAGCGAAATTGGGTTTTTTTTCACTATTGTGTGTTTTCATATCCATTTTTAGTTACATATTTTCTTTGCCATCAAGAAACAGTTATGGCATAACTGTACTATTTTTGAATAGTTGCTATTGTCAATTGAGATTTTGACGGTCGCAAATGCAGTTTTACTGACGACGCGAGGCAGTAACACTGATATTTGTGAACAGTCAAATTCCAGTAGACGGCGCGAGGTTTGCAAAATAAAGCACTGTTTTTCATATTCTTATGCAATACTTGTAAAATCTTCAAAATAAAACATTTGAAATACTCACAGAAACCGTCCACTGCAGAATTGACAGGCAGACGTAATCCAATTAAAAATAGCCTTTCATATCATGTTGCATTAGAATGAATCCGATATATTTTAAAGTAACAAAGTGAATTAATTAGACCACTTTCTTTTTGTATTGTAAAATAAAGTAGAAGATTCAAGATGGTTGCAATTTTGCAAGGACATGGAAGTTTGTATATAGGAATGTAACTCTGCCTGGAATTATTTATTTCGTTCTAGAGATTCGATCTCATGGTTGTTCGGGAATGTTCCCGCCGGAGGTCTTTGTAAGCGAGTTCTATGATGAATATTTTTTAGCTTGGTTGTATAAACATATTTTATTTGCCCGACTAGCAATATGGATTGGACACAAGTTTTAACAACATCAGTAGGGACGTCCTCTCCCAATACAAATATAAGTACAAAAACATTTATCCATCTCGAAAGCATGATAAAGCTGCACATATTTCGCAAACTACGAGGGAAATGGTGCAATATAATATGAAATATAAGATAAGACTAGTCTGGACTGGAGTGGGATGTGTTTTTATATGTCTAAATCATTGTGTCTCCTTATATATATTTGTGCAGATTTTTTATACTTAACTGTGTTAATTGGAATTACTTAATGTTGCGCTGTTTTTTTACATCAATGATTGTTGTATATTTATTGACACTATTATAAACAACTAATGTGTATGTGTATATTCCGAAATAACTCTTGATATAAAAAAAGTTTGGAATTCACATAACTTGATTATTTAACGTATTCTATTTGTAAAATATTTGTTTCCTAAAATAGGTTTTATGATTAAAATTTAGAAACTTCATTTGTGCTTTGTCTTTTGCAAGTTAAAAGAGGATCATTGCTCTTACTACTAAAATCCGTGTGTTTATGACAGACGCTACAAATCCCATATTTTAAATCCTTGGTTGAGGGTCGTTTTCACTCCCTCCATTGTTCAGGTTAGAGAAATTATTGAATTTCATTTTTGTATTGCAAACCGTTGTTGATAAAATGTTCCGCAGGACGCAGCTTGATACGACCACAGAGGTCGAACCCTAAACAGATTCAGCGTATCAAAGAACCCCAAGAATTAAATTTTTGATGAAATCAAACAAAAGTTTAATTTTGGACCCTTTGGACCTTATGTGGACCAATTTGAAAATCGGGCCCAATATCAAAAATCTGAATACACGGTTAGATTCAGCATATCAGAGAACCCCTTGAATTCAATTTTTGTTAAAATCAAACAAAGTTTAATTTTGGACCCTTTGGACCAATTTGAAAACGGGGCCCAAAGTTAAAAGTCTATATACACGGTTAGATTTGGCATATCAAAGAACCCCAATAATTCAATTTTTGATGAATTCACACACAAAGTTTAATTTTGGACCCTTTGAACCTCGACCAATTTAAAAACGGGATCCAAAATCTAAATACACAGTTAGATTCTGACAGTATATTAATGCTCCCAAAAATTCATCAAAACTTTGAATTAAACCCCACTGAAATTGGTCAAGAAATAAGCAATTTATACACAGTATAAGAAAAGTATTGTTTTGGTCCCTTATTCCTAAACAGTTTGGGCCATAACCCCCAAAATCAATCCCAACCTTTTTTTTGGCATGTAACTTTGTGGTACAATTTCATACAGATCCATTCACTTATAGTCCAGAAAAGAAAGTTATTGTCTAGAAACAAGAAATATGCTTGTTTTCGGCCCCTAATTCCTATACAGCAAAGACAATATCCCAAAATCCATCCCAACCTTCCTTTTGTGGTATGGAACCTTGTGGCACAATTTCATAGAGATCCATCTACTTATACTCAGGTTATTGTCTAGAAACCAAATGTATTCGGACGACGACGACAACGTCATACCATTATACTCATTATACCTATACAAATTCAAGACCGTGTCATCAACTGTTAAATTAACCAATGAAGTAAAAAATATATATATATGTTGTGTACAAGTTATCATTTTGTACAAAAAAATTGTACACATTATGATTTGTATTTTGACTTTGTACAAATTGTAATTTGTACAAAAAGTGCTTGTACAAATTACAATTTGTACTAAATTTGACTAAAATTCACTTATAACTTGTACAATAATGTATAGTATGGATTTTGTTATAAAAAATGCATTGATACACACTAAACAATTTTTAATTAATGACCACACAATAAACCTTATTTACAAAATACAAAAATAGTTCTTTATCATTTGTTAGACCATGTGAGTGAATTATGGATTCAGAAATGCACAACAATTTTGCTTTTTACATTCACATTTAGAAGTGCTGCTCCCTCCTTTGCATTTACATGAAAGAAATCCCTGACCACCAGTTTTCGAAATCTTTTTAACTGCTTCACGTAGCGAAAATTGAAGCTCAGGAACTGTTGCTGCAAATAAAGATGTGTCTTCAACAGCTTCAATTTGATTTCTCGACAAATATCCTGTTTAAATTCCTACAGCTGTTCCAATGCGGTACCCAAATTTTCCAGATTCAATAATCAGTGGCGGATCCAGAGGGGGGCGTAGAGGGCGTACGCCCCCCCCCCCCCCCCTTTGCTTGAACTTTTTTTTTTTTGTAAAATTATTAATCAGACTAGACTTAGTGAACTTTGCCATTTCCCGGCAGTGTATTTAATTTTTATGCGACAATTCTTTACTTATAAAGATATTTTTCGCTCGTATTTACTGTAATATATAATGGATGTTGAAGTCATGTGATTCGCTACGGTGGAGTTGATCAGTACGTCGAAAAAACGACACTCAGTCATGCACTTTGAAATTCAAATTACAGTAACACATTGCTTAGGCGGAAGATGACAAGCATGACGCCTTCAAAGCGACAACGGATTGAGCAAGAACGTATTGACTTCTATTTCACAATTCCACTCAACAGAAAGTAATACTCTATTACACTCTCATAAAAAAAAAAGTTCCAAAGTAATATTATTCACCTACGAAAATATGTGTAACCCCACACGCCCCAGCCAATTAATAACATTGCTGAATAATGATCCCCAGTCAGTAAGCTCTAGATAGATTTAAAGTCTAAGGTACGGACCATTTGATTTGATAGGGCAGTCTGAGATATTTTAGAGAAAAAAAATTGACCCTGGTTTTTGCCTTAAACAAAAATTCTGGCCGTATCTGTATTGAAAACAATTATCGTGTCCCCTTTTTTGAAATAAGAAAAAAAAAAAATTCAACAAAATTATTCAGCATTAAATGAACATGGTGAATAAAAAACGGGCGTAGTTTTTTTGGGGGGGTTTGCATGTAAATCCTATATCTGACCGGAATGTCTGTTTCGCCGAACTGATATACTGAATACTTTTTTCAAGGCCCAACTGCAACCTGCCTGCTGGGTGTGGCCTTTATGTCTCCATATGTCGACCGTCATTCACAACTTCGTTGTCATTTGATTTTTAGACTCATTCGTAGCCTTTGGTTGATTTGGAACCCCTCACTTCCCTTGTTGGGTGAAACATTTCAACCAAACATTTGGATAAAAATTGCTTGTTTGTCTTTGTTCGTGTCGGTCGTATTATAAACTTCATTAAATAACCGTATATCATGTTTACAACAAGAAATCTGTGAGGTTTTGCTTATTAACCATACAACAAACGAGAATTTTCCATGTCCATTTTTTACTGACAAATCCCACATCAAATATATTAGTACATAGCTTTGGATCCATTCAATCATTTTATAATAATGGGGAGAATGCGGCATCAAAAATGTCCAACCCTAGCTTACACTTTAACTATAAAATATACATGCCCCACGTCAGGAATCGTTAAAAATGTGCATTTTACACTTATTTTATTTTTTTTAGCCCAAAAAAGGTAAAAAAAAACTTTACATACTACGCCCCCCCTTTCCAAAATCCTGGATCCGCCCCTGATAATTGCAACTAAGATATTTCAAGGATCAGTTGGGGAACGATCACACTGAGGAATTGGTATAACGACATTATCCCCCACAGCAAATTCTTATTATTTCCGTTTCGTATTCGGCTTGGACCTGCTGGCCAGACAGCGCATGCTTCCTGGCACGTATGATTGGTGTTTCAACGTTAGTGTCATCATGATTGTCACTCGGGCCAATTTCTCTTATACTATCAGAATTGTCACTGGGGCCAATTTCTATTATACTATCAAATTGTCACTAGGCGAATTTTTATTATTCTGTCAGAATTGTCACTGGGGCCAATTTCGATTGTACTATCAGAATTAACTGGCATGCATGTATCAATTACATTTCCTGTCTCCATCTGGGTATATTTGTATTTTGTAAATAAGGTTTATTGTGTGGTCATTCAATAAAAAATCTATAGTGTGTATCAATGTTTTTTATAACAAAATCCATACTTTACATTAGTGTACAAGTTATAAGATAATTTTAGTCAAATTTTGTACAAATTGTAATTTGTACAAGCACTTTTTGTACAAATTACAATTTGAACAAAGTCAAAAACTTGTACACAACATATATAACCCTAGTACATTAAATATTATATTTACTTCCAACTCAATAGTTACCCTGATTTGCATCTCATTCACAAGTCAAAAGCTACTATTATAAAAGACTATAATGCATAATCTCAGTTTTTATTCAAAAATATTGTTATAAAAATAAGAATACTTTTAAAAGTTTACTAAAATCAAAATAAAAATAGAATATAAAAACTTTGCAACAGTCATCAAACAATGAAGGCATAGCGTGTCTGTAAATGATACATCAACTCTAGCATCATGATATAAATTTCCGCATGCATATCGAATTCAATTTGCTAAAGCACTGTTAGTGATTTCTTTGCAGGGGCGAAGCTAAGGGGTGACTGTGTCGTATAACAGAATTTGGCTAGATTTTGGGGTTTTTCTGATGTTTAATACTCATCTGATTGTGGCATTTAGTGCGCAGTACAATACTGTGTTAAACTAACGTTACATATCGTCCCTTTGTGAAAGATGTCAAAGACGATTTGAAATGAAAATGAAACACTCGGGTTCAAAGATGATCACTGTCAAATTAAATTATTTCCGTTTTAAATGATTTCCTAAGTGTTCACCCATCAAGTCATTCTTCCTTTTTACTGTTTGATTTGTTAGGTGTAACCGTTTTATCCGCCTTTAAGGATCTAAGAACGTCTGATTTGAATATTCTCCAGAATAAAATCACATTGATTATAAATCCTGGCGGAAAGATTATGCTCAATGTTACCATATACATTCGTGGAAGTTTATGACCATCTATGTAGAAACCATTTAGTATACGACACTGCGGTAGCAGACGACACAATATAAATGAAATCAGATTCAACAAAGATGTAGTTCTGTATATTTTTGTCTCATATCCCACGGTAGAATACTGTAGCAATTTCCGAAAATGAAGAAATATGCTGTTTATTTCAGCCATCAGTGCTAAAATGCTGTATCCAAGACAAACTTTCGCTGTCCAGTTGTATGTAAAACCAATCAAAACCTATGAGAAACAAAATATTAAAGATAAAGTAAAATTCAAATATTCTTCAGTTTCAAAAAATAAAAGGAGACGTCGAGTACTATACGCCAATAAGACAGTAACCCAACAACACAAAACCAAGACATATACAGGTCAACATGAGACCTTCAACAGTATACAGGTGGGTGTCTATACAGTATAACAGAAATAATAGGTGTCCATACGATATAACTTATAAACCAACATTATATACTAAACAAATATTTGGTACCAAATCAGTTCAAATTCTCATTTAGATTTAGGGATTTTACAGTGGTGTAGTAGTCAGTCGATTTATGAGAGGTTGCTGTGTTTTGTGTATTGTAATTTTATTCGCTTAATACCCATGTTTAGTTTGTGCTGTAAATTATAGGTGTATGTATGTATGTACACACTTGCAGGGTTGGTTTACTTCGTTACTGTAATAGATCCAATAGTGATATGAATATAAGATGTGTTTTAAAAATTAAACATAAATAATTAAAGCTTGACACTGCACTGTATATAGTCTTTCTACCCTAAACCACAATTTACCTCTTAACGATATGACAGTTCTTCAAGCGAATAAGCAAACAATTATATATGTAATGTCAACTGCATAATATATTTGACAAGAAACAAATAACAAAGAGAGTGAATTTCATTGTTCTTGTGTGTGTATTAAAAAATTAATGGCCTTATGTAGTGGTCAATATCGGGAACGAAAGTCTTCAAACGGTATTCATAATTTCCTTTTTAGGTAAAAAATAAAATGCTCCGCTGGGCGCAGCTTGATACGACCGCAGAGGTCGAACCCTGAACAGTTGGAGCAAGTATGGACACAACATTCAAGCTTGATACAGCACTGAATTTGGATTGTGATTAAATATTTGACACAGCATAGGTTTCTGACACAGAATGAATGTGGTCTAAGAACTTAAATATTTTTAATTTACCTATTCAAACCATATCATTATTATTTGCTTTTATATATAAATCAGAAATAACAAATTTAAAATGGAAAATTTTAAAGAAAAAAAAGGAAAAAAAAAAATCCCCCCTAAAATTTTTTGAACCTCCTTATGATTCATCACCCCCAAACTCAATCCCAGCCTTCCCTTTGTGGTATGGTACCTTGCAGTACAATTTCAGACAGATCCATACACTCGAACACAAGTTATTGTCTGGAAACTAGAAAAATGCTTATTTTTGGCCCCTTATTCCTAAACGTTTTGGGCAATTACCCCCAAACTCAATTCCAGCTTTTCCTTTGTGATATGGAACCTTGTAGTACAATTTCATAAAGATCCATACACTTACACACAAGTTATTGTCATGAAACTAGAAAAAATGCTTGTTTTTTTGCCCCTTTTTTGGCCCCTAATTCCTAAAATTTTGAGGCAATTACCCCCAAAATCAATCCCAGCATTCCCTTTGTGATATGGAACCTTGTGGTACAATGTCAGAGAGATCCATACACTAACACACAAGTTACGTCTGGAAGTTACAAAAATGCTTATTTTTGGCCCCTTTTTGGCCCCTAATTCCTTAACTGTTGGTACCATAACCCCCAAAATCAATCCCAACCTTCCTTTTGTGGTATTGAACCTTATGGTAAAATTTCATAGATATCCATTCACTTAAACTAAAGTTAGAGTGCGAAAACCAATGTGTTTTCGGATGACGACGAATCCATACACTAACACACAAGTTATGTCTGAAAGTTACAAAAATGCTTATTTTTGGCCAATTTTTGGCCCCTAATTCCTTAACTGTTGGTACCATAACCCCCAAAATCAATCCCAACCTTCCTTTTGTGGTATTGAACCTTATGGTAAAATTTCATAGAGATCCATTCACTTAAACTAAAGTTAGAGTGCGAAAACCAATCATGTCTTCGGACGACGACGACGACGACGACGACGCCAACGTCATACCAATATACGACCGCAAAATTTTTTTGCGGTCGTATAATAAAAACAATCGCCTTCGCAGCTACGCGTCAACAATCAAGACCATACACCATTCGCTTGTTTTGGCGAAAGATCGTGGTCACTTAACACTCCGGAGAACAATGCAACACTATTTTCAAAAAACAAACTATAATTTTAAAAAGAGTATCTGTTTCGTTAAAGTATACTTACCAATACATGATGCAAAGTAACTTCCCAATTTGTTAGAAGCGTTCCATTCATCATATTATCTATAACATCATACAGAAAATACCCTGCAACAAAATTACCTAGTTTAAAATGTAACATAAACGAAATATTTGCCCATTACAGGAACTATGAACATTCACCCTTAAGTATTATAGCGATTGGTCCACTATGTCAGTTGGTGGAAAACAGTAAAATAACAAAAATACCAAACTGCAAGAAAAATTCAAAACGGAAAGTACCTGATATCAAATGGCAAAGTCAAAAGCTCAAACACATCAAACGAATGGAAAACAATTGTCATATTCCTGACTTAGTACAGGCATTTCCTTAGGTAAAAATGGTGGATTAAATCTGGTTTTATAGCTAAACCTCTCACTTGTATGACTGTCGCATAGAATTCTATTATATTGACAACAATGTGTGAGCAATACAAACAGACTTATAGGTAAAAATGTAAAAAAAAACATCACTATAAAAACAAACAACTATATATATATATATATATATATATGTGTCAACAAAGAAAAACAAAATGGCATAAAGACACTCTATAGACAAAGCACATAAGCAAAAATGGAAGACATGAATACAAAAAATTACCATAGTCGTGAAATCTTTGAATGAAAGGTGGTCACAAACAGGCATTTGGTCTAATCAATCAGTTACAGTGTGGCATCAGATGAAAAGAAATGCCAACCCTCACGATATAAAGGGTAAAAAGTACAAGAAAATTATTACATTTCCAAGAAAGAGATTATATAGAAGATCAAAGAACAATAATATATTCATTAGACATTTGAAATGTAATAAAATAAATGGCGAATATTTCCATGGGATACATGATGACCCCGCTTGCATATAACGTTAAAAAGGGACATCAACTCAAGAACGGTAAAAGTGACACCACCCAAATTCGTACTTGATCTGTGTTTTGTGGTAATAAGCATTGTGTATAAGTTTCATAACATTTGGTTGAGGCAAACTAAAGTTAGAACGGAAGCCAATTTCGGTACGTACGGACGTACAGATGGACAAGGGTAAACGCTATGGCGGGGGCATAAAAATAATAAACAATAACCTATGAAAAACAAAAGTTGTACATTTTACAAAGTTATATATAAAAAATAAGGAGATGTGGTATGAATGCTAATGAGACATTTACCCACCAGAGTTCAACATGATGCCGTAGATGTAAGCAACCAAAGGTCACTTTTGTCTATCTTGCCCTCATCAAACTAAACCTGTTTGCATTCTAAAAACAGTCTGGGACTGGAAAACATTTTTGATTGTCACCTCATTGTTTCCAGTTTTCCTCAACTCTTGAAACGTACAAAATAAACAGACCATCTAGCTTTTCCAAAAATATGAATTGCTGGTCGCATAAGTGTAAATGTAAATAGTTTTCAATTGATTATCGGTAAAAAGACGTTCTAAAATCCCAAATGTTTCTATAAATTATTAAAAGTAAGTTAGATCCCCTTTTTAGCCCACCTGGTTTAAAGGCCAAGTGAGCTTTTCTCATCACCTGGCGTCCGTCGTCCGTCGTCGTCGTCCATTAACTTTACAAAAATCTTCTCCTCTGAACCGAAACTGTTGGGCCAAATTTAAATAACTTGGCCACAACCATCACTATATGGTATGTAGTTTAAAACATGTGTCCGATGAATTGCCTGTCAACAAACCAACAAGGCCGACATGGCTAAAGATTGAACATAGGGGTAAAATGCAAGTTTTATCTTTTAGCTTGAAAACAGCTGCTGTGTGGAGGTCGTAGAAAGTTTCCCCGTGCTAGATATGAATGATCTTCTGTATTTTTTAATTTATTGTGTATTAATTCTTCAGATAACTTCTCTTATGTGTGCCACATCATTCTCTCACTTTTAGGCCAGTTTGAGTACAAATTTGAATAAGACGCACACCAACTATTTTTGGCCCTCATTCCTATCCAAGTTAAATTTTTCACTTCCAAATATTTTATGGGGGCGGGATCAATATACGGTTAATTGTACACCAGACAGTACTGGTTATCGGAACTTTGGATACACCAAACCAGGTACTTAATATCTGAGAAACAGGCAATATATGCCCTCTATTTTAGAATACATTCATACATTTTTTGTACTATTCAAAATTATCAGTCAAAATGTGTTCTATAAGGATCACCAGTCCTTCACCTTTCATTTCATACTTTATTAACTAAAATATTCTACATAAGTTTTATATTTACACCTATGCGTAGGAACTATTTTGTTTTAAATATGTACTACTTTCCAGTGTGTTCTTTTTTTACCGGGACCGATTTGGTGGTGATACATCTTTCAAAGTCTATCCAAATCATTTTGCATAGAATTCCACTCAAAACGGTGCTAGGGGCCGTCTTAAACTTGCAGTGAGGTGAGAGTTTTGTTTTTGCTCAATGTTGAAGGCCTCACTATGACTTTGCTTTTTCTGTGTTTTTTGCTGTTCGTGTAGTGATTTTGTGTCATAGATGGATACGCCCTATCCTTTATTTTTTCTGTGTATAGAGAAAATCTGACCGAGGCAGAAATGTTCAAAGTAATGAGATCTACCTATTGACCATTTACACCAAAACTGTCAGACGACTTCTTATAGGAGTTATTGCCCTTAAATGACGAATTTTACCTTCTTTTCGCCTTTTTTCCTATTATCTTAAATATCATAATAGATAGAGAGAAACTTTAAATAGCAAACATTATCCACAAGACAAGATCTTCAGATAAGTCTACCATCGTCGCAACCTTCAGACGACTCATTATTGCAGTTATTGTCTTTAATGGTGATTTTTATCATTTTTTTGTGTGTGTTTTTGTCTAATATCTGAAAAAATTTAATAGATAGATAAAAAATTAAATAAGCAAAACTGATCAGCAAGACAAGATCTACAAATAAGATAAACTTTGCAGAAATCGTTAGCTGACTCTCTATAGGAGAGATTGCCTTTAATTAACAATTTGTTTACCCTTTCTTTTTGGTCATGAATTCTATTCTAGTCCATAATTGAAAGCCAACCGATACTGTAAATGGTTGGCAGATATTGTGCAAATAGCATTTCTAAATGTCACAGTATTTAACTGTTTTGCGGAAAGTCAAAACTTTGAAAAATAGACACAAGATCTGTTTAGATAAATAAAAGCAGCTTTATTACAAGCTAATTTTATGAATTACAGTTACTACCTAATATAAACAAGCGATGAGTGCTAAATATTTTTCAGTGTGCGCAAAATACCTCAATAACAATAGATCACAATACTGCTAAACTGTCAAAATCAGCTGTTCAATCAAGGCTCTAATTTGAAACTAAATTCTGATATATATAGTACGTGTGTCCACAAACATGAAAGTAAACCAAAATGGCTTTCAAGTTGACAAGTAGGATTTTGGAAACTTCTAACATTATAAAAGGATAAATTTTGATTTAAAAAGATGCAGTAATAACATCTGAATAAGGTAATTATGTTGTAACTATGAAAGATAAAAGATAATTCCGCATAACAAACAACTGTGCAAAGTGAAAGGAAGTATGACCGGGAAATACGAATGAAATGAATGACTAAGAGAATTACTATCAATAATCGTTGCACAACAACAATGTTGGAGTGTGTTCATTGTTGATGATGCATATAGACCTAGGTGGTCGACACAGGCTCTTTTATGGAGCCTCATGTTTTACTTCGTGTATTATCAGTGTTGAGATAATAGTACATCTTACGTCAGAGAAATATACAATATTAGGTCAATGTCAGAAAAATATAAACTTTTTTGTATGAGGCTGAGAAACTGGGGAAGGGCGAGGTTATACCGAGCCCTTCTCCAGTTTTGTGCCGAATACAAAAAGAGTTTAAAATTTTTCTGACATTGACCTAATATTGTTTGTATACTGCAACTTAAATTAATTCATTGATAGCTATTTAAATTGTAACACAAATTTCAAACTTATTTTGATGAAATCGACATTGCACAAAATATAACTGTGTTACTATATTTAGGAATTAAACACAACTTGTTGCAGTATAAATAAAATTGAGAATGGAAATGGGGAATGTGTCAAAGAGACAACAACCCGACCATAGAGCAGACAACAGCTGAAGGCCACCAATGGGTCTTCAATGCAGCGAGAAACTCCCGCACCCGGAGGCGTCCCTCAGCTGGCCCCTAAAGATGTCTATTATCTTTCATTCGAAATTTGGATATGACGTGCCGTTTTTGATATGTGTCTAAATTGCATAAATGTATATTATAACGACTGTGAACAACTTATTATTTACTTGCAAGTGCATTTAATACTTTTTATCCTATTCAAATACATTATTTAGCTAGTTAGAAAAAAACTTGAAATATTCTTCAAATTATTAAAGGGGCATTAATAACGATTAATTAAGACAAAAAAAATCAAAATGGAATTATTTTGTTTCAAACATTTATAAAAGCGGAATTTTGAAATAATACTAGATTTCGCTGTTAGCAGTCAGTTTGGTTAAATGTTGTCATAATAAGCTCAAAAACGTCGCTGTTGTATTATTGGCTTGCAAGTAAATAATTCAACCTCATTTGAATCCGCATTTATGCGACCTCGGTCGATTTGAACCTTTATAGTTGACAATGGTTTACGCATGTGTGTAGCATGTTCTGCTAATAAAAAGAATGTCAACATTGAAAAGTGAAACAAGACAGCCACGTGGAAGAGAAATTTCTTTCAATGATTCGGCAGACAAAAAATCATTCTTATATGGTCAAAAATGATTTACACATTTTTTAATCTATAGCATAAAATCAAACAGACATGGGAAGACGTCTTCATACGATTGCACGTGATAGTCTGAATATTTATATTTATGCTCATATCGGATCATATGATCATCGACATTCTTCGGAGCTCATCCCGATTGTTAAACAAATGGCGTCTAGTCCAAGTAACACACACAGTGCTTATACATTATAACGGATTCATGCATTCTTAATTGTTTCTTTCGGACTTTTTGTGATTTGGTTATACGTTTTAGTAAGTTATAAATCAAATATGAGAATTTGAGTCTAATCGGTGAACATGAATTTGACAGCGAACACCCCCATCTAGTGTAATGTAGTCATTTGTGAATATTTACCATAATATTTTCATTCAGTTCATTACAAAAAGGGAGAAAAGGGGACAGCCAATAATTTCATAACTATCAATAATCGGCTTCCACCTAAATAATTATGTAGTTTGTCATATTATAATCGAATTAATTCTTTCATGTCATACCTAAATTATTCTAATTTTAACATGGTAGTCTCATAGAGCATGACATGAATGAATTAGTGCTTAACAAAAGCACATTGCAAGTATGTTTTCAGATATGCATCACCATAAAACTACAATAATAATTTATTTTTATGGTCAAGTCTGTTAAAAGGTCTTGCTTTTCATTGGGATACATGATCTGCAGAAATAAATAAAGGAAAGTATACTTGTAATAATGTCAATACATACCCATCGAAAACGGGATCATGAGGTATATAAAATTATTCAGATAGAACACTGGATCTTCCAATAGGCCAGGGTACCACAACACACTACAATAACAGGTCAGCATAGAACATTAAAATGCATTTGGTTGTGTGCAAGCGTTTAAATTTAAATACTACATAAGACGTGCATATTGAGCACTAGTATCATAAAGAAATTAACTTAAATCTAGCAAAACGACAGATTTTTTTAATCATACAATTTCTAGTGATATTACAATAGCACATATGATAGGATACTGCGATATCAAACAGAATTCAGCATCATACTATAATATCAAACAGAATTCAGCATCATGCTACACTATCAAACAGAATTCAGCATCATACTATAATATCAAACAGAATTCAGCATCATACTATAATATCAAACAGAATCTTCTTCTTCTTCCTGACACGGGAAAGACACCGGTGCCGGAGTGTGGAATATCCCGGAACTGTGGCGCTATGTACATGCAAACGGATGTCGAAAATTGTGTTATAATAAAATAAAATATTTGCCACAGTTCAATTACAATTTAAAATAACATTAGTTGTAGCTTAATGTTTAACATATTCACATTATGTACAGTGGTTTAAGTACACTAATTAATTAGCCAGACTAGAACCTCCAAATGTTAAGGTGGAGATACCACCTTTGAAGGATTCTAGGGAAGGTGACATGCAAATTGTTTCTGGGAGATCGTTCCAGACAGCAATAGTACTTGGGAAAAAAGATGATTTAAAAAACTTTATTTGTATATATATATATGTCGAAATGTATGTAGGCCTCTAGTTCGCCTTTCAGATTGTGTCAGGACGTCATTAGTGACTTCGACCAACTCCCCATTAATCTTATAAATCAAGAATTCAGTATCATACTATAATATCAAACAGAATTCAGCATCATACTACAATATGAAACATAATTCAGCATCATGCTACACTATCAAACAGAATTCAGCATCACACTACAATTTTAAATCGAAATAATGATACCAGTTTCAAGTGACATGCAGAAGTTCGGAATTGCATATATCATTCTGAGGGTCTCTAGTTAATAAGTCCTAGGTGACTCATCGTGATCACTAATTCCAGCTGTCACATGTCTCATACTAAGACCTCTTTCCTTATCCAATGTAAGAATCGGATACGCCATAAAACCACATGAAGACATATCTTGATCCTAAAGCATTCCGTGTACCCCTAGTATATGGCCTCCCCGCGTTCACTCTCGTGCAATGAGAAAAGTCTGGGTCAATATTCCAATTTATGCACAAAACTCATCCATTGAAATAATATAATACTGCACTTTTACATTCTTAAAAGTTAAAAGAACAAGAAAGTCTTTTTATCTCTAAATTTACTGTAGAAGCAGTAAGGAAAGTGGTTTACTACCATAAATACTAACATATAGTATAGATTATTTAATTATTTACATGTGTACATCGTCTACATGCATACATAATCTCCACGGCTTGAGGGCATACAGTTTTAATCCCACGGTGATTTTTTTTACTAAAATTTGCATTTAAACTATTTTCACCAAGTCAATTCAAATATGTAATAGAAATATACCTTCATGTTCTAAATGTAGAGATAAATGGGGTCGCACATTTAGACATGTGCTTAAAATTTCGGTTTTATATTGGACATTTTTATCCTTTGGACAGACATACTTCACTTTTAAACACATGCGCATTTTTGAAAACAGATTGGAATATCTTCTTTACAAAAGTATGCTCTTAATTTGTGTATCCATTCTTTGCAAATAATTAATTTTTAATAAATTTGCATGATTTTAGAAAAAAAAACTGGCATTTTTGGCTGTATATTTATCTAATTGAAAAAAAATCATCAGTGATTTCTTCATAAAAATTGAAACAAATAATCTTCATACAGTATCAAACAAATGTCATTTTAAAAAAGAGGGGTCCATGTACTCGTTTTCAAGCTAAAGATTAATATCACTCGAAAAACGCATCTTTTCCCGATATGGCGCAATTTGACGTCGCGAAAGATAACAGTAACTGTTTACGTTAGAAACGACTACCTCCCTTGTAACTGTATCGTATGCCCTTTAAAACACTATTATTCCTTTATACATACCATAAGAAATTCCATGTTCCTCCAAGTACACCATGGAGCCATGAAATGAATATATTACGCCATCTATAGAAGTTTACGTCTGATTTCACGAACTTAGGTTTGCCATATTTCGTTACTGCAGCGCTCATACAAAACCAGAAAACTGTACTAATCACAAACACGAGGTTAGCCGTCCCCACATTTACTGAATCTCTACCGTCACCAGGGTTTACTATGAAAGTAATATTATGGTAATCGTCGTCAAATGGTGCCGTATTCATTATCGAAACAGACTTATTTGAAATGCCACAATATCCAGACTAAAAAACGTCTATCTAAAATAAACAGAATTAAAACGACAATATTGTTGTTGTTCAAACAAATAGACAAATTGATAACTTGTTTAAACATCTAAATAAATTCAAAACATAAATTAATAAATGTTCACATCATTCAAAGTGTGCAAATATAGTTTTCAATGGAACTGACATAAATCCACAATGTGACATGTTATCGACTTTTCAGTTTAAAAATCTCATAACACACTATACAAATACAAAATATTAGTTGTAAATAATTATACGTTTAAATTATACATTTAAATTCAGAATTAACTGTTTTCATTGAAGAAGTTCACAGATATACAAAGAGCAGTGTGCCTACAAAGAAACTATTTATCAGTTACAACTAAATAGACTCCTTGCTTTGGAAACACACAAACAACATGCACTGTTGTCAACTAAATTGGTGAGAGATATACGTCCCACTTCAATCGCGACGAACAATTGGCCATCATGGTTGATATGGTTAAAGGGAAATGTGAGATAAAAGTCAATGATAGAACTAACCAACATCACAAGTTAACCAAACAGAAATCTATGAAAGTCATCATACGGCTCTCAACAGCGAATAACCTCTAATAAAATCGCCCGAGTCTAGACAATTTCCCTCAATAGAATATGTTGAGGAGGTGGATATGTCAGTGAAGCATCCAAGGACATCTAGCCACTACATAACCTTAACAAAAAGACAGATGTCTTAATATGATGTGTCAATGAAGCATCAAAGGACATCTAGTCACTACATAACCTTAACAAAAAGACAGATGTCTTAATATGATGTGTCAGTGAAGCATCAAAGGACATCTAGTCACTACATAACCTTAACAAAAAGACAAATGTCTTAATATAATGTCAAACGTCTTAATCGCCCCGAATCTAAATAAAATGCTTCGCTGAGCGCAGCCTGATACGACCGCAGAGGTTGAACCCTGAACAGTTGGGGCAAGTTTGGACACAATATGCAAGCTGTCTGAATTTGGATTGTGATCAAATTTTTGACATAATATAGGTTTCTGACCAAAATAAATGTGGTCAAAGATCTTAAAAATTTGAAATGGTCTGATATCCAAAATTTAACAACATGGTTAGATTCAGCATATAAAAAACACAAAAAATTTAATTTTAGTTGAAATCAAACAAAGTTTAATTTTGGACCCTTCAAACCTTAACATGGACTAATTTGAAAACAGGGCCCAAAATAAAAAACCTAAATGCACAATAAGATTCAGAAAATCATACAGCTGCAATAATTCAGTTTTTTTTTTAATTTTGGACCCTTTTGACCTCAATGTAGACCAATTTAAAAATGGGGCCCAATATCCAAAAAAATTATACAAGGTTAGAACCCCGAAAAAATAAAGACTTAATCAATCCCTTTGAAATTGGTTAAAACATTTGTATTTGTTTTTAATTGAAGATTTCTTGCTATTGCCCAATACTGTGCAATTGAAGATTTCTTGCTATTGCGCAATACTGTGCAATTGAAGATTTTTTGCTATTGCGTAATACTGTGCAATTGAAGACTTCTTCCTATTGCGCATATTGTGCAATCGAAGATTTCTTGCTTTTGCCCAATACTGTGCTATTATACAATACTGTGCTATTGCGCAATACTGTGCAATTGAAGATTTCAAAGTTTTGAAGAACAAATGAACCCTAAAAAAAAAAAATGGAAAAAAATCCCCCACATTTTTTGAACCCCCCCACTCCTTTTGGAGCAATTACCCCCAAACTCAATCCCAGCCTTCCCTTTGTGGTATGGAACCTTGTGGTACAATTTTAGAGAGATCCATACACTTAAACACAAGTTATTGTCTGGAAACTAGATAAATGCTTGTTTTTGGTCCCTTTTTGGTCCCTAATTCCTGAACGTTTGGGGCAATTACTCCCAAACTCAATCACAGCCTTCCCTTTGTAATTTGGAACCTTGTCTGTACAATTTCAGAGAGATCCGTACACTAACACATAAATTATTGTCCGGAAACTACAAAAATGCTTGTTTTGGCCCCTTTTGGCCCCTTTTTCCTAAACTGTTGGTACCATAACCCCCAAAATCAATCCTAGCCTTCCTTTTGTAGTATTGAACCTTCTGGTAAAATTTCATAGAGATCCATTCACTTAAACTAAAGTTATTGTCCGGAAACCAAATGTGTCTTCGAATATTGTTTGTGGTGGTATAAAAAGTTGGGAATTAATTTTAACAGAATATCAAGTTTTACCATCAACCCCTTCAGGTACTTATTTGACCTATTCTTTTTACTGAAACTTCAAATTCAATTTAATAAGATTTCAATCTCTGTCTGTTTAAATGTTGAGGTATTATAAAAAAAATTAAAAGGAAGTTTTCGACAAATGCAGTTGTGAAATAACGAAAAATGCCCTTATTCTAGGCGTTTTCGTAAAAAAAATATTTTGATTTTTTTCAAATTTAAGATAGTTTTTGGACCCACGAATATAGAAAACATGAAATAACTTAATAAATAATTTACCACAATTAAAAAAAAACACATTTTATGTTTCCAATTTATGCTAGTTTTCTCTCAGGTTGTATGGAGGAAGCAACACGTATTCACGGGTGGGTGTCTGAGTTGTAATCTAATCATTTTAGTTGTGTAGCGTTAATTCGTGAGTAAGTCTATTTGTCATAGTCGCAACTTACATGCATATTTTAAGCATGAATTTAGTTAAGAATTTATTCATGCAGTTAAACCATTTCTGTTTCTCGATTCAAGCTTACATTTCATTGTGAAGTTTTCCTAATTAAAAGCTTTTGATAAAGCACTGTCAGTGTCTATTGGCATTTGTTATGATTATAGTCTTTTCTCGTGATATATTATTGTCATATGTACATACACCCTATAATTCTTTATACTTTATTGCCACAACGAACATATTATACTTATGGTTTATCAAAGACATTCAAAGAATAAGCTTTATCCAAATTACCTAAGACCTTCAACGAATAAGATTTATCCCAACTATCGAAGGCCTTCAACGAATAATATTTATATATCAATTTTGGAGACCTTCAACAAATGAGATTTGACCTTCAACGGATAAGATTTATCCCAACTGTAGAATACCATCAACGAATAAGATTTATCTTAATCATAGAAGACATTCAAAGATAAAACTCTATCCCAATGATCGAAGACCTTCAACAAATAAGATTTATCCCAATCATCAAAGACCGTCAACGAATAAGATTCATCCCAATTCTGAAGACCTTTTAACAAATAAGATTTATCCCAATTTTGAAGACCTTCCGTGAATAAGATTGTAAAGATAAAACTGTATCACGATTATCAATGACCGTTAAAGAACAAGAATGCACATGTTGATATGTCGTGCCTGCTTTACTGTTCATCATTAGTTTTATGTTGAAAGTCTTAAAGGTAAATGTTTTACATAAAATATCACATAAACTTAACATTTCCAAAGATCAAATTAAATGAGATCATTGCCAGATGGACCCAGCCCAAGACGGACATGTAGACCCTAAAATTATTCTATACGCTGTATATAGTTAACATATTGTTTATAGTACCCGAAAAACTGACCACACCACGAAAACTTGACAAAGCACCATGAAAAGGAAATCAGTTCAAGGTCAGTTAACACATGCCAGATACATGTACATTGTACATGGTCACCTGACAATCATCCCATACACCAAATACATGCAGTTGACTCAATGCTCATAGTATCTAAGAAACGGATCTAATCACGGAACTTTAACTTTTAAACAGGTTTTTGAAATAAAGTCGAAGTCGGGTGAATCCTGTCTGACAGACATGTAGACATTGCAAGGATCCCATATACTAAATATTATTACCCTATTTTTCATAATAAGTGCGAAATTCACATGCCAAAGAAAACTATAGTTTTTTAGCAGTCGCCGAACCATGAAATGAGATCATGAGGACACTGGACATATGACAGGCCGACACTCCGTAAAAATGCATCTATATACAAGATATGGAGCATCCAGATCTTCAACCTTTTGAAATATAAAGCTTTAAACAAATAGTTTACGCCACCTTCACCGGATTAGCAAATATACCTATTACTCGTATTCTGTGACGTAGTAGGCGAGGCAATAAGCACAAAAAAATGTGAAGTAAAGGACATTAACAGCAGAACAGAAACGCATACTGGATTCTTATTCTAAATAGAAATGCATAACCTTTATATGTAATTAAACCAGTTCAAATTCTTTATTACTAGTACCAAGTATCAATATAAAAAGTAATCAGACAGAGAATGTTCATGTTATAACGTTTTCTCTGACTTTAAATGCAGTTAAAACGTATTTTCAAAATTTATAGCAGAAACTTTTAAGTGTTTTGTTTGTGTCAGCGTAGATACATGTTGATCTAAAACCTTACTCTTTGTTGAATGGGTATGGCGGAAAGCAATAGATGTAGTTTTGAGGCTTGGCTGGATTACTTTTATGTGTTCGGCATCGCAATAGCTTGTGTCTATTACCATGACATCGTTCAGCACAGTCTTTCTTGAATAAACTGCTCAAATCGCGGTTATATTCTGTTTATAATGACATTATGAATATTAAAGCTTTACGATTTAAGTCACAAATTAAATGAACGTTTTCAGGTAAGGGAGTAATACGTGACCGTAGATATATTTTTCTGAGAAATGTCCACATAAATAACTTGTCGAATGTATTAAACGGACCGTGGAGTTGACCCTAGGCAAAGTGACGGGTGTCGCATGGAAAGCAGGATATATACTGTTCACGACTTATCTATCGGTTTTGTCCATAATGATTATTCTATCGTGTTGCTTTGATTTGTTGAACTCTTTTTCCCTTTTAACATAAATGAAACATTAGCGTCTACCTGTTTATTATACAGAATGTTTCCACAAAAATAAACACATTTTCCGGTGTGTAATATACATTTAATGTATTTTATTCTGTTTTAAATGTTTCCATGAACGCCGAAGTTGTTTTGTCTACCATATCAAGGAAGGAAAACGCAGATTATGAAAATAATGACACGTATAAGTTTATTTATATCTGATATCTCGATCCTTTTGAACAGTTGTTTCGTTAACGTACTGAATTCTCCTAAAAGAATTCAAAATATAACTTAGTCTTTAACCACATCCAAGTATTACTACATCCGACCGAAAAGTTGTAAATATGTTGTTATAGTAATGGACATGTAATGTGTCATATCAAGTGTGTGTAGGTGTATTTCAATCAACAGATTAAAAAAGGTGTATGTTAAAGGGAACATGACTTCATTACTTATAAAATTCTTTTCAACATACATTAGTGTGAATGTGTATGAAGGTAAATACCCGTACATAAATCTAACTTTTGAATAGAAGAATGAACACAATTATGTAATCAATACGACAAGCTAAGGTCCACTAATTCTAATTAATCAACCTTTTCTGTCGACTTACATTAAGATTTTGTTTGTTAAACTGTCTTAAGACGAAGTTAAGTACTGCAATGTTACTGTTATATAGGATCATAGAGACAGAAGTACCTATAGCGTGTGTATTCACATAATCTGTATGTAATAATCAACCATGAAATACAATCAGGTACATTATAGTTGTGATAAAATATCAACCTTACTAATTACTGATAAATGTAATAGACTCACCTTGTATGTTAATCAGTACACGTATGATACCTGTGATCAATACACGCTTTCTTTCAATATAAACATCCAGATTTTGATGACAACAGTTTTCGTAGGCGTGACTCACCGTGAGATATGAGATAAGAAGTTTCGCCCTTCTAAAATTCACCTAGCTTTGTATATCATTAGCAACGTACATGGATCAGTGCACCCCTACAGTTAGATACCCATCGATTTTCTAAAACTGTTATTTTATTCGTGTGTGGAAAGTGTTTCCTACAGTTGTCAAGCACACAAGTCTACGCATGCATCAACATACACTGTGTCAGATGTATAATTACAACCGCTATATATATAGCTGTTAAGTTTGAACCCAGAAGAAATATTTATAAGTTAATAATCAAGTTTATCTTACAATAGGCGGAAACAAAAAAATGTACGACGTAAGGTCTCAATAGCGTATTTCTCTGCCACGAATTGTAACTCCCTCATTAGCTTGTTCGGATTAAAATTAGAAGTGTGTTAACATTTACGTTGACCTGCTTTTAATTTTGATTGATAGAATGTGATTGCAAAACCTCCAGTGGCAAATATCACATGCATATTCAGCGTGATAATAACTATGTTAATTAGACAGGTTGCCTATCCTTTACCAGTTTGGCTGTTCCAGAACTACGTTTTGTGCGAACGAAAATCTTATCTTTATCCTAGCCAACTATTATATTGTACAAATAATAGGTATACTAGCTAGCATATGTACTTTTACAAATAAAATTTCCTGTTATCCTGCTCCCATGTTGAGTGAATAGCAATGATTATATTTTTTGGTGTCCTCTTCGCCTATTAGCCATGTCGACATCTTAAAAAAAAACCAGAGACAACGATTTGGTGTTGAAAAAATAAACGTAAAAAGTGTCAGGATTGAAATGGAGGATAAAAAGTAATAGACATCGTCGGGAAAAATAAATTGTATTTTTACTCGTTACAAGACAAGAGAAAAACGGTTCGGTGAGGCTCGCATTTTGGTTCTATTTATATAATATTTTATATTTTCTTCCGACGATGTATTCTAAAAAGTCTTTGGTTTAACCGATCGGGACTTAAGGTGCATTTCATGTTTGAGCGATTTTGATATGTACTTGTAAATATATTTGTATTGGCATATTTTCTCGCGGAACCCAACGTGATTGGTATTTTTAAAATAATATTTCTCTAACAAAGAAAAATGCATTTTACATATTTACCGTGATGATGTATAAGAAACACAACAACTACGAAACCTAAGATAAGTGGATATCTAGACCATGTCTTCTGAATCTAAAACACACAATAAAAAAACTACCATCAGGATGAATAATATGAAAAAAAAACTACCATCAGGATGACTTACATGAACAAGGAAATGAAAAACGACACACAATTTGGAAAACAGGGTCAAAATGTGCTCGCTACTACACGAATCTAGCTAAGGTAGCTTCTGCTATTGGTTAATTACTGACGCTCAAGAAAACAAAAGTCATAAACAACATTACTTACAGGTTTCACGAAGTCTCCTCATAACATTTTAAATGAAATCGGCATTATTTGTGATCGGTCAGTTAGTATTTGAAATCGGCATTATTTGTGAGCGGTCAGTTAGTATTTGAAATCGACATTATATGTGAGCGGTCAGTTAGTATTTGAAATCGGCATTATATGTGAGCGGTCAATTAGTATTTGAAATCGGCATTATATGTGAGCGGTCAGTAAGTATTTGAAATCGGCATTATATGTGAGCGGTCAGTAAGTAATGTAATCGGCATTATATGCGGGTTAACTAATCGATCCTTTAGATAAACTTGTTCTAAAAGGTTACCAATTCAAATGCAACACTGTTATTAGATCTTTAGATATTGTTTAATTGGTATAAATTTTGATTTTGTTATCAGTAAATTAAAACCAATCTAATATTATTGTTATATACAAATGCATATGCACATTCACGGTTTTACAATCTGTCGATACCTGTATCTTGGCATTGAACAAGGTCATGTTTTTCTCTGACTGTTATTGATGTCTTTACACTAAATCCATTGGATGTTGGATGTGTGCTTGCTGATACTTTAGTCTTAGATATATGATTTTTTTATTTGTTGTTATTGGCTTTGAACTAGCTGTCGTCAGTAACTGTGAGTACTCTCATATCTGTACTTAATGACTTTTTTGTTGTAGGGATGTACAAATACCCTTCCACGTCCGGTCTGTGTGTTTGTTACTTGTTCTTCTGCTTTGTATCGATCTGATGAGTTATGCCCTTTTCAACTGATTTTTATAGTTTGTTCATATGTTGTACTGTTACACCACTGTCCCAGATTAGGGGGAGGGTTGGGAGCCCGCTTACATTCTATATGTGCCTGTCCCAAGTTAGAAGCCTGTAATTCAGTGGTTGTCGTTTGCTGCTATATATCATATTTTTATTTCGTTCATTGTTTTTTACATAAATCAGGCCGTAAGTTTTCTCGTTTGAATTGTTTTACATTGTCATTTCGGGGCCTTTTATAGCTGACTATGTACACGGTATGGGTTTTGTTCATTATTGAAGGCCGTACGGTGACAAATAGTTGTTAACTTCTATGTCATTTGGTCTCTGGTGGAGAGTTGTCTCACTCGAAATTATACCACATCTTTTTATTTTTATATTTTAACTACCATCAAGAACTTATCATTAACTTTTTAATAAAATCATATGAAAAGAGTGGAATTAACTATTTTTGGAGTGTACAAAATTCTTTGGATGTTTTAGATAAATTACGTGTTTTTGGTGGTCCTTTTAATTCGGTTGACAGTTTTTCTTTTACTTTTCAACTCTTTACACTACACCTCCACACAATCTTATCAAACAAAGCTTTTCCTCAGTCAAGTAATTAAATAGTCGTTTGAAAAATCTGATTGCATGCAAATTAATTTGCTGTAACTCATATAATGCCTTCTTCTCTACTGAGAAAGGTAAATATGCTAGATGAATGAATGAATGAATATTTAACTGCAAGAGTATACATGACCTGAAATGGCAGTACATAATATATACACAATATGACAAAAGACTGGTAACAGAGAACAATATAATAATAATATAACTAACCAATAATATCCGATCTAGCTTTCCATACATTCTTCAAATAGTTACAGAACTTATTTGTAAGCGATCTAGAAGTAGTTTTCAACAAAAATGATAATTTTAAACTATTCGGCCATGAAAATTAATAACGTGGCAAAATAATATTTCTGATTTTTCTGTATGCTGGACATACCAATACAAAATGAAATTCGTTCTCAACATAATGCATGCCGCAACATATACATAAACTCAGTTCTCTTGGTATATCAGAGAAACGATCAACTTCAACATTTAGTTTCAATGTTCCACTTCGTAGTTTTGAAAGAATGTGAACTTCATTAATGTAGCTTAAAAACTTCTCAAGACAAAAATCAATCTTTACACTTCTATTTGCACTTTATTTCTCACACAATCATATATATCTGCTGACCATTTTTAGATATACTTACTTGAGATCTGGTGAATTGATCGAAGATGTAAATTTTCTTCTTGACAATATTTATGTACGTTTCGGAAATAAAGTTTATCGGGCATGTTTTAGGTATTTCTATGGCCACCAATTGCGCCCTTTTAATAGCAGACTTGTTCCTATACTGTTTGGAATAACAGTTTAAGGCCAAACTCAGGAAAGACCTATCTAAATTCAACAACACTTACCGTTATCTTGATGATATTTTTTCGTTAAATAACCAATCAAGATTTTTTATATATACTGCCGACATTTACCCAATGGAACTTTCTCTATATAAATCAAATATAAACAGAAATAACTGCCCTTTCCTAGATTTAGATATATCAGCTGTACATGGGAAACAGTACCAAAAAAAATACGACACAAGGGACGATTTTTCTTTCCCTATTGTTAATTTTCATTTTTTTAGACATAGTGTTCCTTTGGTACCATCTTACGGCGTGTATACACCCCAATTCGTTCGCTATTCCCGTGTCTGTGTTACTATTTTAATAATTCATGAACGTAATCTATATATTACTGGTAAAGTATTTAGTGAAGAATTTCGTTACCCATATTTCTAAAAACCTTTACTTATACATACAAAGCTTTGGTTTGTACCTATAGAAGACTTATTTCAAACGGGATAGCACATCCTAATTTTTACGGTGATATTGTTTACCGAGCTTGTAAATTTAGATACGATCAAGGTTAACTTATCAATCCTTTAAATAAACATATTCTAAAAGGTTACTAATTCAACACTTTAATTAGATCTTTGAATATTGTTTTATCGGTATAAATATTGATTTTGTAATAAGTATATTATTAAATTAAAACCAAACTAAATATTATTGCAGATCACATATGTACATTTACTGTTCTACAATCAGTTGATACCTATATTTTGGCTTTGAACAAGGTCGTGTTTTTCCCTAACTGTTAAGGTAACACGATACCAAATGGCATATCTCCCCATTTCTGAAAGGTTTGGCACACTTGTACTTTGATTCGAGTTACATCGGAATATGAAATAAAAAATGGAGGTCACCATTTTTGTTTTTTTTTGTAATTTTCATAAGAAAATGTCAATTTTGGCGACAAATTTACATAGATATATATAGTGAAAATGCCGTGTTTTTTACTTCTTTTTTCAGATTTTTGATTGGATGGCTATGTTCTTATATATACAGAGAAAGACTAAAAACTAACATAATATCCAGGATTGTATACTGAATCCTTGCATGTATAGAAACACATATATCACCATCCTTACTTTTTTAGATAAATTGCTTCAAAGTTGACCGACACGCTTAGAATTTGACAGAAAACGTGCATGTGACCTTACTGAATACAGAATAACGTGTTTTTTACTCAGCATGCTCAGAGGTATTGAAAAAATATGTAACAGGATCTGAATGGTGTTTGTTATTTTATTTTTATTTCTCCTGTCAGGTTTTGTAAATTTCCTATGTATTCAAATAACATTCTACTGATTTGATTTTATTTCATCCTAACCAGGTGAAGATTTAACTTTTCAAAACTGCAACTTAACCCTACTAAACCAGACAACGTTGATGTCACCACTGCGTCCATGCATTAATAAAGTGCTTCAAAATTTTATTAAGTCAACAGTGATGTTGAAATACAATTTGAATTGATTGATTGATGGTTCCTTAACGTCCAGTGGCAAATATTTCATGCATGTTCAGGACGATACAATACAATTTGAAATAGTTGTGTCTAAAACACATTTGATGAAAATTATAAAAAAAATCAATAT